GCCAGAATCAGACGCGGGAGCCGTTCCTTCTCAGCCAGGCCTTCTGGTCGAAGATTGGATTGTTCTTTTGGCCTATCGTTTAGGTGTTTGGGTCGGCCCTTGAGTTGCGCGTTGTTCGCAATGTTGTCTGCTGGGCCGAGCCTTCGTTGGAAAGCCGGTCCATAAGGGACCCCAAGTTTATGAACCTGACAGTATTAATGGAGGCAGTCAATTTCATTTACCGAGGCGGTCACATTTGTCCGCCTCGTAAAATTGATTTATGGAGGCGGTCAAAAAATAATTGCCTCCTAAAATTGATTTACAGAGATGTGCGTCATAAGACAACCGCCTCCAAAAATCAGTCAATTTCATTTACCGAGGCGGTCACATTTGTCCGCCTCGTAAAATTGATTTATGGAGGCGGTCAAAAAATAATTGCCTCCTAAAATTGATTTACGGAGATGTGCGTCATAAGACAACCGCCTCCAAAAATCCTCTATTTCCGGAGACCGCCTCCGTAAATCTATTTCCGGAGGCGGGCACACTATAAGGCCCGCCTCTAGAAATATTTGCCCAGCTCCCAGCCCAAGCTAAAGCCCATATCTATCCTCTACCGGGCTTGTATATAACCTAGACTTAGGATTTCTTAGCATTTCACTCCCTCCCTCCCTCCCGACTCCCTATGGCACCCGGCTCCCCTCCTGTTCCTCTCACTCCCTATGACGACGCCCCTCTCCACTCTCGTTTCTCTCACGGCGATGCTCCTCTCCTAGCCAGCCCCTCCCATCCCTGTGGCGCCCCACCCCTCCCGTGGCTCCTCTCCTGGCGACCGGGGCGCGCTCCTCCCCCGACTCCTTCTCCGGCGACCATGGTGTCCGAATCAGTCGCTGGTGGCCAGATCCGTGACCATGTGGCTGGATTCGCGACCATGGGGCGAGACAGAGGTGCGATGGCCAGATCCGGTGAAGGTGCGGTGGTGCGAAGCGGAGGTGCGGCGGCCCCTACTCCGGCTAAGGTGCAATGGCCAGATCCGGTGATGGCGGACACGCACGCGGCAGATCGAGCTCCCTCGGTGGCGGATGGGGCAACCCCGGCGGTGGCGCTCGCGGGGCAGGGCCTGCTCCCCCGGCAGCGGCGGTGCGCAGGGGCGACAAAGACGAGGCCCAGATCCAGGCCCGGCTAGGGCTGGGCTGCAGGCTTTTTTTGTTTTTTCATATTGGTTAACCGAGCGGGTAAAGCGCCCACCTCCGTGGTCTGCGCATTAACGATGACCTTTGAATGGAGGCGGTTGCTTTGCCTGCCTCCTAAATCCAAAATGCACGTCTCCACAATTTCTATAGTAGTGATATATCCAGTATGAGCAATATCATACCAAAAGACACGTAGTATATTTTTTTGCAATAAATATAAACAAAGTTTGACTAATAAATAATCAAAGTTTACAATTTGGCCTTTTTCTAATTCTAATATTCATCCTATTTTTTGAAAAGGAGGCGGTACATCAACAACCCCTCATGTGGAGGAGTGTCATGGGATCTAGGGTAGGTATTACTAAGAACTTTCCATGTGGATCCGAGTAGACACGTGTCAGGCCCATGCGGTGGCCCTTTGAGCGACTAGGCTCTAACTTGAAGTCATTCTACTTCTTTCAGAACTTCTTTCAGAGCATCTTGAGCATCTTGAGGACCCACATATCAGGTTCTATTTATTTCCCTTTTTCTTTTCTCTCCCGATGTCTTCTTCTCACAGTCAACAAGCGCCGCCTAACGTAGCTCCATCAGTTATATTTGGCCCGTCTAGTCTCTCCGATGCCTGACCACTGCTCCGACTAACGCATTTGGCCCACCACCAACGACGGTCAGCTGGAGTGCCGCCCATCCATGCAAATGCAAGCGAAGGAGCAGGATGCGCTAGATCCGCCACCCACCCCGTAGAGATGTCGCTGGGTCCCCGGGCCATGCCGCTAGGAGCAGGAGGTGGGGCACCAGGTCGTCGTTGTTGTCACGGCACAGGAGGTGGAATCACTGGTGTAGGAGATCCTAGAGCAGAGCAGCCAAATCAAGAGGTGTCTCTGCTGGCGTTGGAGAAGGCGTTACGAGCAGAGGGAGAAGGGCGGCCGCCGATGGGTGTGCTCGATGCCATGGCAGAGGGAGGCGAGAGAGAGAGAGAGGAGGGAGCACGGTGACAGTTAGAGCATCTCTAGCAGTCCCCCAATCCCACTTCTCATCCCCATAAAATTGTCATATTGGGGAAGATGAGGCAAATTTCTTGCTCCAGCAGCTCCCTAATATGGCCTCCTTTTTTGGTGCCACCAAAAAAGTAGCTCCCTCAAATCAAAGGGGAGTTGCATCTCCCCCCATAAAGTGGGGCCCATCGTAACTGCCACTTCTTCCTCTACGCATCCGCCGAGCAGCTCGAGTCCATAGCCATGGCCGGAGGTGAACGGGGCGGAGGGGATGTGGAAGCCATCGTGGATGTGGAAGCCATGGCCACGGTGGACCTCTTCAAGCCTTTCGCCGCGCATCTTACCTACTTTTCGACCCGGGCGGAGCAGAGGATGTGGAAGCTCAGTAACGCCCCGCCTCTCCGAGGCCAGCCCGCTTACATCCGCGGCTTCTCTAGGATATATGGCAGAGGCGGGGCGCCTCAGTGCGGACCAACAACAGGTTTTTCTGCGCACTTTGTCCTCACTCGTGCGCACCCGAGAAGAAAGAAAACTTCCCGATCGGTCACCCATCGCTTCCAGGCCAAGCACGCTTAACCTGGGAGTTATTTGAAGATGGGCTTCAAAAAAGAAGTTGCAACTTATTGGTATGAGTATCCTATTAATCATGTTAAGCCACTAAAAAGGGGTAGGATGTTACATCCTCACCCCTTAAGAGATTGGACGCCCTCGTCGATCAATCCCAAGCTGCAGAGGCGTCCTCTCTTGGCCACGTCAGTGTGTCGAGCAGCGCATGTATGCCATCTTTGTGTGACGCCGGGATCCACACCACCATGCGCACCATGCTCACAAGAATGCGACACGCGCCCCATGAAACCGCAAGAGAGTCGGCTCGATACCATTTCGTAACGCCCCACCTCTCCGAGGTGGGCCCGCTTACATTTGGCGGCTTCTCTAAGATATAGATCGCCTCACGCAGACGAACAATCTGGTCTACCATTTTTCACTAACACTTTGTCCTCGAGAGATCGAGGCGTGCACGGGGAAGAACTTCTCACATCAATCACCCATCGCCCGTGCCAAGCACGCTTAACCTTGGAGTTCTTAAGAGATGGGCTTCCAGAAAAGAAGTTGCAACTTATTTGTATGAGTATCCTATTAATCCTGTTAAGCCCTGGGCCGGGATGTTACAAAGCCATCGTGGATGTGGAAGCCATGGCCATGGTGGACCTCTTCCCCAAGCACGCTTGCCACATCTTACCTCGCACTCGCACCGGGGCGGAGGACGATGCCGATGGTTGTGCTCGCAAAGCTTGTCCACGGTGTTGCTCCATCCTGAGGGCGTCGTGTCACGGCCGAGGACGTGGACGCCGTGCACCATGGCCGGGAAGGAGTACCATGGCCGGGAGGCGGGGACGACGGAGGGGGGCCGGAGGGGATCGAAGAGCGCCATGCCTCACGAGATACGAGATTGACGAGACGGGGAAGAAGGACGTCCGAGGAAGAAACACCCTGTGGGAGAGAATAAAAGATAAAAATAAAATAAAAAATTATAATCTGACAAGTAGACCCCATGTATTGGGGGAGATTATTGGTTTCTCGCTGCAGCATCTCTTCCAATAATCCAAAAAGTGATATTGGGCTATCCCATGATCACTGTATTGGGGGAGTTGTATTGGAGAACTGTTGGAGATGCTCTTAGGGATGGGCCCAATCTATTGGGGGAGATGCAAGTCCCCCTTCATTTGAGGGGAGATGGGGTGTTTTTGTGGCCACTAAAAAAGGGGCGTTATTGGGGAGCTGATGAAGCAATGAAATTGTATCATCTCCCTCAATATGACAGGTTTATGGGGATGAGGAGTGATATTGGGAAACCGCTAGAGATGCTCTCTCACAAGAGGAGTTGATGTGTCCTAGGTGGGAGGCACCCGTTGTGGTAGGTGCAACCTGAGGTGAACTGTGCCCGCCACGTTGTGACCTCACGACAATGCTTGCAGTCTCTCACTGGATGACCTGTTTTGACGCCACAGTCCCACCACTACATATACACACTCTTGCGAAAAGTATGTTGTTACCCGCATATGAGGCTGACTTACCCAGGACGTAGGGCTTTTACCCTAGCAGGGGCCTGAACATGGTAAGTACCCTCTCGTGCTTAGATCAGATCAAGTGAGACCACACCCTTCGAATCGCTTTGCCGAACATCAGGCTAGCATGAGTTAGTCTACCATGGTTTACCGGCCCACTAACATTCCTTGGTGACGAGAGATCGAGAGCGTGCAACATAGAGCCCGACCCACCACGCACACATGAGCTCCCCATATCCCCATTTTCTTTATATAGTGGACAGGCACGTGCGGCTCGCACGTGGTCATAAAAATGGCCGTTCATAAAGGAGGAATTACTGTGAAATTTTTGAGAAATAACAATGCACATTCAAGAGAACTCAGATAGAAATTAAAATATGTATTTGCTGCAGGAGTTGACTGCTCAATTCATGTGTAGTAGATGACAAGAATTCAGGTAGAAATAAATTGTGTATTTAAAACAAGAGTTGGTTGCTAAGCACCAACACCATATTTACATTCATATCAAAATCCAACCCACAACTAAAACAATAACTTTCTTTCACTACAAGTATCAGCACTTGCATACCTGCAGTCACTGGGGAAGGAGCAGAATACGTGATATCCTATTTACAACAAAGGCAACACAGCAAACTGGATGCCTTTTATTCGGTCCTGGTTCTCGTCCCAACAACGAATTCTCCGGTTGAATCATATCATCTGAAATTATGAATTCTTGAAAACTTAAAATTTACGCTTTTATTTACACTGAATATTAGCATACCATTTCATCAGTCACCAGCTTCTGCAAGACACAAATTTATCAGAAGAAACATTTACAAGAAATGGGTATGCATACAATTAATATTTCTATCAATAACAAAGAAATAACAGCTCACTTGTATTTCGTTTGGAAATGTTGCACTAAACAGCATTATCTGCCAAAGCCTAAGCCTGATTATTTAAAATTAACCTCGTGCCACATGAATACCATCAGGCTTGGTCTACAGTTTTTTTTTTTTTTTTTTGCAACACAAAATTTTGACATAAACCAACCTTCTTTTCACACATGTTTTAGATTGAATTGTGGTCCATGTGCAGCCAACTTTTAAAAAAAAGATAACTTCTATTGTTAATGTTCTTGGTGACAATAGCCTATGTTAAGCAAACAACTTCACGTGCGACGCGCACGTGGATATCAAAAGAAATCTCATTCAAAGAGCGTAACAATGTGCCAAGTGACAAAATTCTTGTAGTGAAACCAGCACTCTTGAGAGTTTGGTTCCAGATCAGTCATAAACTGCCAGGTAGCATCCTATGTATGCCGTGGTGTGAAGTGCAATATTCTTCATAGTGAAGTGCAATATTCTTCATCCTATGTATGCGGGATTCAGAGCTATGTTGGTGTTCTTGGCGCTGGGCACTTAGCTAGTTCGTACCTCGTTTGTCGCAATTTAAAATACAAATATTAGCACTACGACATAATATGGTGTAAATTGATGCAACTCATAATTAATAGAAAGATGAACCACTAATGATAGTGACAAGATTTCTCACAGATCCTTTTGCAATTAACTAATGTTCAGAGTAGTCAGGCATGACATGTATGTGATAATCAATGAAGAAACTAATTTTGCTATAAGAAATATTACCATAAAAACTGTCGTTTTTCTCTGGCAGTATAGCAAGAAAAAGACCAATCTTTTGCCCTCTTAGCTTGTTCCGAGCATCCTGATAGAGCCTCTGAAAATCAGTTTCAACTTGCACATAACAAAAGCAAACCAAACTGATTCATACCTTCAAACCGCAATGTTCACAAAAGTAGTGCTTGCATTTGGTGACCACTGGATCAACGAATGGCTCCCTGCAAATGAAGCAGGCAAAGGGCAGCTCCTCCTCATCATGCTCGTCCTCCGCCGGCCTTCTCCGCTATAGACACCATGTGCTCCCGCCGGAACCCAGCCTTGTAGTCCATGTAGCCGTGGATCCCCTTGTACACCTCCCCGGAGGCGGAGACAGAGGCACCGGAGGGATTCTTCTTAAGGGACTCATGGGCCTGCTTGAGCTGTATCTCGCGGATGGCACGCGCATTGCGGTCGAACTCCGTCTCTGTCTCGAGCGTGGCGGTTGAGGACGACGGCCCCTTCTTGGAGCGCGTGGTCGCAAGGGCGCCGCCTCCGCCGCCGCCGTCGTCATCAGATCCCACGGGCGCGGCAGGGCCGGCACTGATCCACCACTGGCCCCCAGTTCGCCGCTGCCGCCGCGGCCATCGAACACCGGCGCTGATCCACCGCTGGCCTCCAGCTCGCCGCCGCCGCCGTCGGCCATCGATTTGGTAGGGTTTCGATTGAAGAGGCGATCGATTCTCCGAGAACTCACGGACAGGCAAGGAGGGGGCGAAGGGGCATGCGGTATAGATCGGGACGGAGGGGCGGCACACAGCGAGGAAGCGGGGCGGTTGGCGGTGTTGCGCGGGCGGAGTCACGGGGATGGCAGGGAGCGAGGAAGCACGCGCGGGCACGAAGATTTTCGGTGAAAAAAAACTGGCGCGGACACGTCCGTAAGAGACAGAAAGTTGTACGTCAAAGAGTTTCCGACCGGATCCACTTGTCAGATCAGATCTAAGAGACAGGAAGTAATGTGGATAAAAAATATTTAAGTGAGAGTCTATTTCTATTTTCTTCGCTCCTTTACGGTATAGATATGTCGATTCACACATCAACGTACTCAATATGGAATAAGAGCGGAGTACAATTCCACACCAAAATCGAAACTCAAAGTCTCTTACTCTAATGATGATATAATATTAATCGCCAGCCGCATGCATCAACCACTTGCATCCAAACGTCCATGGTAACATCCCATCTTTTTCTCCATCCTAAACAGAGGGGATGTACTAACAATTCTCTTCCAACTCGAAAAAAAAGGCGTGTTAGCATTCCACAACAACACAGATCTCACCCTACATTTAGGTACGGCCGTCACATATGTATATAAAAACTTTAGGTACGGCCGTCATATATTCCGCGGCATTATACGAGATGAAAAGCAGTTCATACGTTTCCCGATATAGAAAGGCAGGCAGGAGCAAGACGTACGTGGTGATCACTGATCACCCCCGGCCCAGCCGTGATCGACATCGCCCAATCACATCACTCCCACATGAAGCCTGTGCCCTCATGGTACATGCCTAACCCTAGTTTTTAGTTTTAGCAAATACTGCGATCCATGCAGCATATCGATCACTTCGTTCTCCGGCCTTTCGTAGCCTTCAATTTTCGTTGGACACACGCATGACGAACCAAAGTTTACTAGTGTAGTAGTAGTGTGTGAGTGAGATCATCCATGCATGCATTAAGCAATGACTTGTGTTGCTTGCTTCATCAATGCAAGGTTGAAAGGGTACGTACGTACCTGATGAATCAATGTTCATCAACTTACTGTTAAAACAACGGGTAATTAAGGCTAGTCTCAAGTGAGTTTGATGAGTATTAAATAAGCTACCAACTTTGCAAGTATGCTACATGCAGGGGCGGAGCTAGGATTCAGATATAGAGGAAGATGGCGGTCCGTTAAGTATCAACAACTTTTTTTTAGATACCAGTGTCATACATTAATATCAGCTTAAAGAATTATTGACCTTGATGTTGGCTTAAAAAACTATAAACCATCTCTAGTCTTTTTCTTTTTCTTCATCTTGGACAAGTGCTAATTGTCTAAACAGAAGATAAAAAGGGACATTGTTACAATTGTCATCATGTTTATTTTATCTAGCCACAAAAAATTATACAATCAAGATATATATAACTTGAGAAAAAAAACACAATAAGGAGACATATTTTATTCCTAATTAGACTTTTGTTACCTTAGTCGGGAAGACTTTTACCTGTAATTTTTAAGATTAGTACAACTAATGAGAAGTCCTAGTATATACTAAGCAACCTTAGGGGGGCTCCCTTTCCCCTTATCTCAGCCCCTGGTTACATGGCACAATATTAATGAAGAGAGATATTATCAAAGTTTTACGAGAGTAAAATGAGTTTTATAGAGATAAAACCAGTTCACACTGTCTCCAACACCACACAAAAGTCTTGAGAAACTGAGACATGAAATCTCTACTGAGACTAACATAAAGCCCTAATCTGACGGTGTTCAATCCACAGAGTGTATCTACGTGGAAACGGCAACATGCAAGGATAAGTATTATTGCAAAATAAACATGGATAAATACAAAGGAGTATTTGGTAGCCTAATTTGCAAGAGGCAGACATATATATATATATATAGACTACGTACAACCTGAAAGTAAGTGTCTCTCATCTTTTGCGTGCAGAATGAGGAAAAAGAAGTAGGGGTTGAGCCCGAGGCCTAGCCCACTTCTGGGTCTATCCCTGCTGGTTCTAATTTTCCCGTGAAGTGAAACAATTTTTTTTTTGTTTTGTGGTTATGGGCCTTGTGGCTATGAATCGCACAAAACCTGACTAAAAAGGATATTTTTGTTTTTCTTCAGAGACAATTTCTACTTGGTTTGGATGCTCTTGTTTTGAAAAATACCATTTAAAAATCACTCGCAAACCTAGGGAAAACAATGTGGGCGGCTACGTGAACCCTTTTTATACTTTTTCCTGGTTGAACAAGGTGATGCACACGTAAATTTATACTTTTTTATAGAGATTTTTTTCCTTGTACAAGGGTGGGGAGGACTAATAAAGGATCCTTTTGGGATTGGAGCAAAAAATTTTAAAAGAGAAAACGTCCTTTGACCTCTCTTAACTTTCATCAAAGTTCACTTTATCTCCCACAACTTTTGAAACCGATTGGCATTGCTCTCTAGTGGGTTTTGATATTGGTTTTATGTGATGGGGTGCCACACCGCTCATCCTAGTGGGTTTTGATATTGGTTTTATGCGACGTGGCACCACATCAGTCGCGCCTGCAAGAGAGGTAAATCGGACTACATTGATAGTTCAAGGATCAAATAGACTTTGTAAAAAAAAATCAATAAAATTATCCAAATGTTTTCTAAAATGCAACAAAAATGCCAAAATATGATTTAATCCTAAAAGATTCATAGAAAGCTGGTTTTCACTTTTTGATCTAAAACAAGTTTTATATGAGTTTTCTAAGATCAAATCAAATTTTAGTGTTTAAATTGTGTAACTTTTCTAGAAAAAGTATTTTTATTTTTTTTTTAATAAAGCCTATTTGTCTTCATTGAAATATCAATGTAGTTCAAACTACCTCCCTCACGGCTGATGCATTGAAACTAATACCAAGGAAACGATTTCAACCGGTTTCAAAAGTCTAGAGGGATTAAAAAACGCAATTTTTTGGTTTATAAGAGAGTAAACAGAGCTTCGATAAGATTGGGCGGTCAAAAGACCTTCCCTCTTAAGGCCATGTTCGGTTGCAAATGAATCCAAGAGGATTGAAGGGGATTGAGATGGTTTTAATCCCTAGAAAGTCAAAATCCCTCATAATCCCTCCCAATCCCCTCTAACCCCCATGGAATGGGGTACTCCCTTCATTCTAAATTATAAGTCATTCTAAGAATCTTGGAGAGTCAAAGTACCTCAAGTTTGACCAAATTTATATGATAAGATAATAATATTTATGATAGCAACTAAGTATCATTGGATTCTTCATTAATTATATTTTCATAGTAATACATATTTGATGTTATAAATCTTTATAATTTTCTCTATGATTTTAGTCAAATTTAAGATGTTTTAACTCTCCAATATTCTTGGAATGACTTATAATTTAGAACGGAAGAGTATAACCGAACATGGCCTAATAGAAGTGAAAGGTTCAGCCCAACGCATGTCTCAGATTGGGTAACCGGTCCACTTTCTCTATTCGGCCCACACACAAATTTGGGCCCAGGCCATCTCTTCTCTCCCTCGCTTGCCGTCTCCTCCATGCTGGCGATTGGCGAAGGCTTCTGCGCGCAGCGGTGGTGGCGCGTTGAGCCGTCGCCGGCGAGGAGTCCCCCACTCGCGACGCGTCCGAGGTATGCTTGCATTGTCTGGTGTTGGGTATGCGTCGTCTCTCCCTGTACCGGCTGGCGCCTTGAGAGCTTCATGTCTGTGCTTCCGTCCTGGTTAGGGGGCTCCAGATTTCAGTTCGGTTCGATCGTTTAGTAGTTCCAAAATTTGGATTCGATTGCTTCGTTTACAGATCCAGGGATCTATGCGGTTGTCCTTGTCCCCGCTGATGTGCCCTTCATGAGTAGAAATTATAATGCTATTATGCTATACTAGAACCATACGATCTATGATGGCTCATGGCTTTGTCTGTAGGCGCGCCCTTGTTTTTGTTGGCTACATTATATTGGAGAGATATGCTACTGCTGCTGTGCGGATGTGAATCATAACTACTTGTGGCGTGGTGTCTTGCTTCGCTTATTCATTGAAACGGTTCCTATTTTGGATCTCATGCTAGTCCTTAATTCCTCGAGATAAGCTCAAAGGAAAAGAATAAGCAAATTCTCTTTTCTTACAAGTTACACCCCGTAAAAGTAGGGGGTAAAAGCATATTCTTACAATGATGATAGTGGGTGTATATCCTCCATTACAAAACATTCTTACAAGTAACTGCTGTGCCTGATTATCAAGCATTCTTACAAGTAGTGGGTGTATATTCTCCATTTCAAAACATTGGAGTATAGAACTGAAACTCAGAAACACGCTGCTGTTTAATGATGTTTTTATCTAGCATTCTTACAAGTAATGGGTGCAATTGTCCATTACGAAACATCGAAGTATAAAACTTAAACTCAGTTGCTGCTTTCGATTCATCTGCCATGCTCCAACTCTATGCCGATGCTTCCATATTGTGCATTGCTGGAAGGGCAATTAGAGGAAGGTTTTGCATATAGACTTTCTGTTTCCACAACATGGTGCTCTGTCAGCTTTTCTTGCCAGGTTCTTCTTATTACTTTAAGCCGCTCAACAACTTCGGTCATCTGTGGACGCTCGTCCCCCTTCATGCTGAGGCATTTCTTTGCGAGTTTAGAAATCGCTTGAAGTGGTTCCATCCCTACCCCTATTATGCTCTTGTCCAGCATATCTTGAAGCTTGTTCTCCTTCGTTGCCATCATAAAAGATGATGCAAGCCCCTTCCGTTCACTGGAATCCTCAGAATATATTGCAGTCTTCCTTGTGATTAGCTCCAATATGACAACCCTGAAACTATAAACATCACTCTTTTCTGTTAGCTGCCGTTCCTGTAGATATTCAGGATCTAGATAGCCAAGAGTTCCTTGGACCATTGTCATAAATTGGGTCTCATTCTTTGCAAGCATGTGTGATGCACCAAAATCAGTCACTTTTGCTGTGTAGTTGTCATCTAGGAGAATGTTTGAAGATTTTACATCTCCATGTATTATGGGTGGGAATGCAGATGAATGGAGATATGCCAGCGCTTCTGCGGATTCTAGGGCTATTCTTAGTCTGTCATCCAATGGGATGGATGACCCTTCACTGTTGACCAACTGGAAGAGAGTGCCATTTGGGATGAATTCATAGACCAACATGGGAACTTCCACTTCTAAACAACAGCCTAGAAGCCTGACCACATTCCTGTGGTTTATTTGAGAAAGTATGATGATTTCCTGCACAAATTCATCTTTCTGGTTTGTGTTGCAAACTTTGGAGCGCTTTATGGCTACAACTCTGTTATCCTTCATAATCCCTCTGTAGACCGTGCCATGTCCCCCTCTTCCCAGTTCTCTTCTCTTATCGAAATTGTTGGTTGCATTCTCTAATTCTTCTTTTGAGAATACTCTTACTGTATCTACTCGTCTTGATCGCATTTTTTCAAGTAAAATAAATCCGCCATTTTGCTTGAAGAAACCATCCTTTTCTTTGATGAGCTTTCTCTTTTGATATTGAATGATCACAGGGAAAATGCAAACAAGGAGAAAGACTGTGCTGATAGAGATACCTACAGTCACCAGGTATTTTTCTATGAAAATAAGATCAATAACCAAAGAAAGGAGAAAATATTGATCTATTGACATTACAGGTTGTAATACAGCACTGGCTCCTGTTATTTTGCATTGGTTGAAGGGGGAAAATCACATGAAACAAGGTATTGGCATTTTCTTAGTATTGTGCACGAATAAATAAGCATAACTGTACAGAACATTTAAATTATTACTAATAGTGAATTGGACCATTGATTGTACTTAAGTAAACTAATTCTGATTCAACCTTAGTTGAACTATAGCACAACTGCAGTTTTGTGTCTCCATGAGCATCAGTATTGACGTATAGTTGCTATTTATGATATATACAGACAGCTAGATAAGGATTTACCTAACACCATCTTTACAGTCTGTGTAGGATCCTGATAAGGAACACAATTTATCATACTCGCATCAGTGCTCCGAGTTCCCTTTGGACATGTGCAGCTGTAGCTTCCTATTGTGTTAGTGCATTGGACAAGGCAAAGATACTGCTCAGGAAAGGCACATTCATCGATGTCTGTTAATGTAACCAGGAAAACAAGGATGCTCATTAAATCAACCTGGCATATTATTTGAACCAGAGGAATTGAAGGCTGGTTGTTGCTTACCTTGGCAGCCTTCTTCCAGATATGGATTCCCCCCATAGCCACTGGAACAGTTGCAGAGATACCCTGGGCCATTGACTGAAGGGATGCACTCGCTGTTCTTGCTAAGACATGCATAGGATGACATATTTTTCTTTGCTTCATCACATGATTCTTCCCCAACAACCCAGTTAAGCACAAGAGGCACACCATCAATGTACTTGTCAGCAAAATGGTGGACTGCAAGGTCAGAGACATCAAACCTGAACTGCTGGATCTCAATCACGAAGGCGTAACTGCATGGGTTGAACTCCAGCACGCTTGTACTCCGCCTTGTTGAGAAGGTGGTGTTGAAGTAGGTGAGGTTTGCCGGGATTGATGTCTGGCAACAACCCATGCCGGTGCACTGGCCGCTGGTGTCGACGCTTGCATTGCTGCTGCAAAACGACATGCATCCGCTGGTGTAAGAGTTTGCATTTTCACCTTGGATGAACGCGATGGTGTCACATCCAATCGCCGTGAACTTATTCTTGGTATGTGATATCTGGTAATAAGACGCTAGATCCATGGGAGATCTAGCGAAGTTAGTGATGCCAGTGTCATTGTAGCAGTCCCACGTCAGATGCTTGTGTACTCGAGCCTCCCCTTGCAGCAGAAAGATATCAAAGGCCCAGACGTTACTGCCTTCGCCACCCAGGTAGGCTCTTCCGGCGTCGTTGTCGCATCTGACCTCAAAGCCTCTGCGAAAGCAGCCAGGACCAATGCCGAAAGGGTAGGGGATGCTCAGGTTGCCACATCTTTCTTGGCATCCGGGACGTGCCATCCCTCCGGCAAGTGCCAGCAGGCGCGTGGTGCTCAGCATGGTGGCGAGCAAGAGCAGCCATGGTGGTGAACGCCAGGGCATGGCTGGCGCTCTCATATCTCCCTTGCTATGTATCTGTTGAGCTCATTTGGTTTCATCTGGAATGCCCATTACATTGGTGCAGAGGGGTGGAGAGCTGGTGGATACGAAGAGAAGAGATGATATTCTGCTGCAGGCCATTACATATTCTGCATTGGTACCTAGAGGTCTTGCTTCCCGGCAAGGAGAAGGGCCAACCCAAGCCAACTTACCTGTTGTCTGTCGACTTCGAGTTGGCCGTCATCGATAATGCTTGGTTTTTGGATTGTGATGCAAGACGGCTATGTTGGTTCTCAATTATGAATCTTGGACAAATGTATTGTACATAATATACGATGGTGATTGGCTGATTGCCTGCCCTGGTGTGGTGTTGTTGGGGGTGACAACAATGAGGTAGCTCTGTAAGTTCTAGACTCTAGTGCTGTCATCAAGTAGTAGACTAATGCATTTGCTAGTTCACCAGTTGGTAGCCTGGCGCCCTGGCTGCCTACCTTTGCACTCGGTCAGCATAATCCAAGACCAAGATGATGTCATACTGTCATTAGCCTGTTCCATTTGGGTATATTAGAACCAACAAAAGAGATAACAATGCATTCCGTGGTTTGTCCGGGTGTACTATATGCTGTTACGGAGTATTTGTTCGATCTGGAAGGCAATACTCCATCCGGCCGGCCGGCCCGGCGGCAAATGAAACAAAACAAAAAAAAAGATGTCAACTGAAGAAACAGAAAAAATATATACTCATGAAAACTGCCCATGATTAAGCATGAAAATAACATTACCCAACAGGATTTGAATCAGCATGAGCCCAATATGCATATTAGGCCATCCCAAGCACAGTTACAAGCAACTAGGCAATCCGTTCACTACATACACAGCGCCCCCAATCACAATGCTATGGTCATGTGGATGCGTGAGTGGACTCCTGTTGTTAGAACCTCTCCTCACTATGGATACAAAGAGCTGGTGATAAAATATACACTGCTGCTACTACTTTATACAAGATGCAATCCGATTATTCACTAGCATGACATTACAGAGAGCATACCAGCTTGATCAGATGTACCACACCTTTCGTCGCAAACTGTCAACCAGCTTCAACATCAAATAGGAATGGGAATGCTACATGTAATTGCAGCCTGGCACACAGGAATAACAAGAGCCCATGTTAAGCATGGGCTCAGCTGTCAGACACCGTCTCTTCGGATGACGCGCCGGTGTCGCTCGGGATGGCACCGTTGGGTGCTGTGGTGCCTTTAGCCCCACAGTTCAGATCCAATGCCTCACCAGACAGGAACAGCCTCTTGCTGAACGACCGCCAATCCGCATTCCTCCTCATCGCGCGCTTCAGGGAAGCTCCAGGGAGGACATGGGGCATCACGTCGTCACAAAAGAGAGAGGAGCCTCCCCTTGGTGGATCTGCGGCTGAACGCCCTGGTGCTGGCACCATGCTCGGCCACATCTCAGGGTTGATTCGACTGGTGCCAGTTTCGGCATCCTTTGTAAGCCACTGGGGAAGGCTGTTGATTGGTTGCTGGTTGGTGAGAAGGAGCTGGGGCACCCTGTCTGATGGTTCTTGGAACCAAGGTGACTTGTTCTCGTAGTATGACTTATGGAGCTTGGATGCCCTTCTGCGCCTGCTGCCACTTCTTCCATATGAGGAAGAAGCCCCAGGGAAGCCTCCCAGGGACATATTTCTAGGCCCACCATCAATTCCATGAAAGTTAAGCCAACCCAGGCTTGATGAATGATGCTGACCTCTCTCTGAAGCACGGGCATTGCGAAAGTAGACGTCGCCCAATGAAAGGTCCGTTTGGGCCCCAAGAAATGCAGACTTTGAGCATCCAGAGCATGAAGCTCTACCAAGATAATCTTCGCCCATATGAAGAGGTGGCACAGGACCCAGAGCAGATGCCACAAGCTTCTTCTGCTCCTTGTCCCATTGCTTAGCAAGATCCTCAGGCATTCTTGAGTTTGAAAACCGTAGTCGAGTATCCCTCAACATTGCATTCCAATTATTAACGCCATACCTCCTAACTCCGATCCAAAGAAAATCCAACTCTTCTTCTGACCATGGAGCCAACTGCCTCTTGTAGGAGTATGTGCCAAGCTTTTCGGTTAACTTATGAGATGTGCGGGAGGTGCCTCCAAGAAACAATTTATCGCTCCTCAGGGCAGCCACACTATTGTCTGTGAAACTGTCCAGGCTGAGGTCTAAACTGAATTCAGGAGCCCTGTCCATTATTCTGAACTTGAGTTCTGAAGGCAAGCTTTTTGGTCCCTTCAAACTCCCAGTGTTCCATGGTGGACCCAGATCAAAGAAATTTGAGTATGAGGTATGCATGGTTGAGCTTTCTTCATGCTGCTGTTGTTTGCCACGGATAGTATCTTTCTCCTTTGTGAAAAACAACCTTTCAATTGGTTGAGACATTTGCTTTCGAGCATTAACAATTAGATCCTGCAACAAAAAAAGAAAATGTTTCACATCATCTGAGGCACAAACATATGCACTGTTAAGATTTCTTTTACAGTGTAGTATGCTATATGACAAAAGAAAAGGAAAACAAGCTTGTAATGGCAAAATTAAATGAAGTATGTGAAACAAGCCATCCCTCTGACTGCAAAGGAATTTAGATTGAAGCTAATGGCTATATATCATTCAGATTAAAAAAAATTGAAACAAATACAGATTAAAAAAATACGCCACTGAGAACTGAGAAAACAATCTCATTTAGCGCATGGAGAATTTGGAAATGTGGCAAAATGCCAAGTAAACAAGTAATGAAAGGGGTAGTTCTATTATCCTCACCTGATCTGGCAGCCTTTGAACTGTTGAGTCATCCAAACAGGGAAGTTCCTGTTGTCTTAATTCAGTACAGTTCAGGTCGATCTTCCCGAAAGAAGTTCTTTTATTTTGATTATGGAGGCCTTGATCAAGAGCCTCTGAATTTTCCAGCTCCTTGCCTCTCTCATCATTATCATCATCCAAGACAATTATTGGAACATTTTTTGTTGAACCTTGAGATTCTGGAATATCTTCTACCACAGATTTATTGGTTGGTTTCAACCAACTGACATCTAGTTTTTGTCTTGGAGACTGCCGGGAAGTAGTTTCCCCAGTACAATGTCTGCCCTGCACATCAATAACTTTTGGAACTTCAATAGTATTCGGTGATGTTCCGTTCGAGTCCTCCATTCGCGTATCTTGCCCACTGATCTCTTGCACACCAGTGAACTTCGACATTGGTGTAACATCATCTTCCAGGGTCATCTTTTGGTTCAACACTGGTGTTACATCATCTTCCAAAATCATGTTTTGGTTTACGTCTTGAGTAATCTGTGGAACCACATGTTGAACTGAGGATTTTACGATGTGCAAACTACAAAAGGGGCTTTGTATCAATTCCTTATGTGTGTATCAATCAACTAATATTAGTTCTAGATCACAATCACAGAGCTATCAAATGCAAGTAATCATCATACCTTTCTTGTTCAGGTGACTGTTCAGCTTGTGTAGAAGGTCCAGTATTTCTTAATGTAGCTACCTGTAAATGAATTAAATGTGATTTCTGATTATTTTGAATGCCCAGGCAAGGAAATTGTCAATTATAACATAGGTTATTGCCAAAGTAATACATGAAAAGCAGTGTGAGTGCACCTATAGTGCATAAAAAATCGGTGGAAGACAGAAGCTACAGAAAAAATAATATAATTCTACAACTACAAGATGGTAAGGCTGTGCATTATTTTGTTGATATTTTAATACACTCATACAAAAGCATAATCTTTTAACAGCATCATTTTTTCCCATTCCCTACACTGAATAGTATCTAGAAATAGTTATAACTTTTAAACAAACAAGGTAATAAACATAAATTAAAAAGGCACAATACTACCTGGTTGATGTTGGAAACCTTTTAACCATCATAATATTTCTGTACAGTGACACAATTCTGGGCTTCTTTATGTTTTTGGCACTTTACGTATTCATAGTGATAAGGCTGTTTCTGAGTACCATTGCAGTTTTATTCCATTATGCGTTTTAGAGAAGTGTATAAGATCACTCATCTGGCTAACCTCATAGCTTAGATTACAAAATTCAAAGCCTGATACAGGAAATAAGATAAGTTGATGTGCATACATTATGAAATCATGTCAGCACTAAAAGAGCACTAGCTACCTTCTATTGTTTGCCAGTTAACTAAATTATGCACACACCCATTCCTACAGAAAAACTTTACAATTAACAGCAGTACATCAGAGCAGGAAGTACACATCAATACTATATCAAATGGCCCCAAGCAACAGACCACTCAAACCAGCAAGAAAAAAAAAAGGACAGACCTAACAAGTTGCTATTTTAAACAAAGACAACACAATTTTCTAAACAATCTTCACCTCATTACTATATCAAATGCCTCCCAAACAAATGCAGGGATATCAAGGAATGTTCAAAAGAATTATGTCATTTAAATGCAGCTGTACAGGGAAAAATGAGGGTAAAAACATACCTTATCCTCAATATCCAAAGGGTTTGGAGCAGTATGTTTGAGCAATGGTGTAGCGTTCAGTGATGATTGTGGTGAGCTGCATGTCAGTGTTGAACACTGTTTGTCGTTGTCCGGTGAACAAATTTCCTCTGCTGGTTCATTCAAATTAGTTTTCTTCTTAACTCGCCTGCGAAAGGTGAGCAGAGGACTAAACCTTTTCCTACATTGGCCAGGGACGACAGCAATCTCCGTCCCTGTAGGTGAATTTATTTCCACAGGGGCAGAGATATTTGAATCTTTTATCTGATTAATCGTCCCGTCAGCAAGCATGAGATCACACACAGAACTTGAAACAGGAATTTGATTCTTTGCATCATCAATGCATTGTGATTTATTGCTATGTGCCTCTGTGGTTGAGGCAATGGTGGCACAACAAATCTCAGGTTGCCCTTTCTGTGGTAATGATTCATATAGCTGATCCTGTCCTTTCTCTGGTTCACATTCTTCTTTGATGTTTTGTTGCAACATGGAGAGATGCTGCTGCTTTTTAGGAGTAATCTGCCAATTTTTTCAGATAAGAAATGGGTGTCAGACAATAAAACTGATGGAAGAGGAAACAGAAGACTGATCAGGATTAAACATGAAAAATAATCTGTTTCAGAACACGATTCATGAAATCATGCAGCTATTGACAACTTTAGACAAGCATCTACACGACACCACAAGTTTGATGCCCAAGAAAATCAGATGCAGATGCAGTCTTTTGCGCTTTCAAGAAAGCTGCGAACAGCAGTAACCATAACATGGACAATCACAACAGCAAGTGGTAGAAATGATATAGTAAGATAATAACAAATCAACAAGAGTAACAGAGGCAAGATTCCTCACATGATTATCTTCATTTACCACGGCGGTCTCAGCAGGGCCATCAGACTTAAGTTGTAAACTGCTGGCAGCTACATTGCTGGAGGCAGCAGGAGATGAATCAAGAACTGTGTCGTCTTCTGTATGGGCATGTGAGGCAGAACGCTTCCTCTTGTATGTTATCATGACCTTGGTGCTCATCCTGATAAGCACAGATGCTATAGGAAGTAAAGCTTGCCAGCTGTATCGGCTATGTTTTCAACTGCTTTCACTGCAAAAGAGACAAGTGATGAGGTGTGAGTAAAGTTCCAGCAGTGATAGAAATTTGCTGAGGAAAAAAGCAAAAGTTAAGAGGGGGGAAGAAAAGTGAGGCAAGAGCGACTGTCATTCCCCTCCCCACCCACCCACCCACACCCCCGGGAGGGCTGCTAGCGCCCATTACAACTGCACATGAACATTGGTACACACAGACGGTCACTGGGGCATTGGGGTTCAGCAGAATCCCCAGTTTTTTTCATATTATGAAACAGAAATGCACAGCCGGTTTAATTGGCTGCCAAGAATTAACTACTATGGTGAAAACAACTTGAGATGCACCAAGCTGCAACCGTGTGTGCGCGCTGAAGAAGAACTTAATGAGGCATGATGAATAGTCTACCCTACCCAGTAGAACATCCTGCACTAAATGCATGGAGTCACGCAAAGAAAGGGAACCGAACGTCCCCAAGCAGAGTAGAAAGCCAAGTCCGTGAACAATCCATGCCGGCAAGGCAGTGCTACCTTATATACGAAAATAAAGAACCTTAAGAAATCAAAACATCCGGCTGGATCCCCCACTCCACGGCATGACGAAATGAGGATGGCGTGGAGGGGGAAACAAAAGGATTGCGAGCCCTCCTCGCCCGTCCGGGGGACCGAGACCTCTCCCGCCGGCGATGGAGCGCGGGGAAATTGGCTTGGTGCCGGGAGAAACCGGAGGAGAACGGAATTTTCGGATGGGGACGGGAGGAGGAGGAAGGCGGCCGCGCCTTTTTCCACAGCAGAAAAGAGAAAGTTGCAGGAGGAAACGAAACAATCCACCAAACCAAACCCAACCACCACTCCTCCATTCAATTCCAAAAGAAAAAAAAAAAAAAAAGACGAAGCAGCAATCCCGCACCAGACCGAGAATGACGCGGAGAGCGATGAGCGGAGGAGCCTTGCTCACCACCTCAGCTTCGCCATGTCGATCGCGGATGCGCGGGGCGCGGCGGCGGACTGGGGAGAAGGGATGCGGGGGTGGTGGTGGTGGGACGGATGGAAAGGGACAAGAACCTGCTGCTGTTGCTGCTCCTTTATTCCGGGGCGGGTGAACGGACGGAAATGCCCCTCGTCGCTCCTATCAGAGCCTCAGAATGGGGAGGGGTAGTTTTGTAAAGTGGAAAAGTCGGAGGCCTGGAGTGGTTCGTTTCTGCTTCCCGGGGAATGTTCCTTTGTTTTGGTTTTTGGGCTGCCCCGAACCTTCGAAATCCGATGGCGGGTTCAGTCAGACACCACCCACACACACCACGCGCGCCGTCCGCCCTCCTTTTTTTTTTTCCCTCCTCCTTTTCCCGCGGATGAGGATGAACCAGGGAACAGGCAGAGGCAAGCAACACACTACTACAGTCCTATTACTACTACAAAGCTGGGCATGGGCTAGACCAGGATTGCTTTTTCAGCTTGTTCGCTTACTCGTAAACGATCGTAAATTTTCAGTCAGGAACAGTGTTTTTCTCTCACATCAAATCAGCCAGCAGTAAATAATCCACGATACGATACGGCCTCCCGAACAGGCCGTTAAGTAATATACGCCCTGTTCACATAGGCGGAGTTAAATAAAGTTAAAAAACAATTGATGAAATTCTTGTCTCTTGCTTGATGTCATGGATGATGGAATCCACCGGAAAGCAATCCTTTCCATTTGAGTGGAACTTCTGAATCACAGAGAGGCAATCAGAATTATCACCCTAATTATGGGATATTTGAGACGAAACGGATAGCAAGCCTAAGAGCAATTATCTCTGCAAGTTCTAGATCAATGGTCTTATTGTATCCCTGCCTAGAAGCAGCCAAAGAGTCACAATTGTGGTCTCTGATCAATGATCACTAAACCAATTCCCATTCTCTTTCTCCCTGATTTTGCAAATAAAGCAGCATCAACATTCACCTTCACGGGATTGTCTTTGTGTTGCATGAACACTAAGGGCATGTTTAGAACACGAGAAATACATGTTCCTATGTTTTTCGTGTAAAATTTCTGCATTTCAAACAGGTCTTGAACAGCCGTTGATTTTTGCCTTAGGCAAGTGTTCCTGAATAGTCGTTGATTTTTGCCTTAGGCAAGTGTAATGTGTAATATTTGTTAGCTGGAGTTACCTGAGAACATTAGTGAGAGGATATATATGTACATAATATCCATGTGTTCTTTAGTATTTAATAAGTGTGTGGTCAACCTATATTTTTATATAGTTTTGAATTGAAAATTGGAACCTTTATTAGTTTTCTCTTCACGGTTAATCATTAAGATGATAAAATTTGAGTGTCAAACGACATTTGAGGGACAAAAATGGCTATTCCAAGTAGTACATAGCCTAGGATGTCAACTATGCTCTGAAGCATGTCTGGTCTGTTTGGTTACTGTCCTGACAGGCAAATGCCTACCAAACAACAAATCTAAACCACCGGGCACTCAAAATTGAGGGTCTGGATTGCTCCCTCGCCGGCAATAAACCAAACAGGCCCGTCTAGCATGATCAGCACGCACGCGGCATGAACAAGTGCTACACAAGATTACATGAACCCTCACACCGAGCTGTTCAGACAAGACAACTAGAAGATGTCATCAACGTAACTGCATTTGCAATATAGCTTTCCTTTCTTTTTCATTGCACTGTTGATTTACAATATATAATTTACACAATCTATAATTGGGGAGAGCCTGCTAACATTGCCTCTATCCCTCCTTACCACCCTTGGGTAAAAACATTGATTTCATGTTGCCCTACAAAGAATCATTTGCCCCGCTTTAAAAGACACGGCTTTTTCTAACTGTAAGGGCGGAATCCCATCCCAACCCTAACAAATACCTATATGAATTTTACAAAAGCTAGCTGAAAAGAAAAGATAACTAAACAAAGGCGCATATGGGGTAGAAAGGATCAAAAAAAATATACAACAAATCAAGAAATGATCTGACAAGATATCTAGCAGCATAATGCTCGAGACTTCACAAGCCCTAATCCTGTAAAAACTGGAAGGCAGGGTTCTTGAGTAGCTCATCAGCCGGTTTGATATCCGTGAAGTCCTTCTCCTGCATTGAGTTGGTGATATCATCCACCGAGAACGGGATGCTGCATGAAGACCGAGATTGTCATATTGATCATAATCATCAAAGCAATATAACAATCCCACAGTTTAATGAGATGGTACTTAATGTTACCTTGAATTATCATCTAACAAGAATGAACCACTTTCAGCACTGTTAGAATCCTCTGTCATTAGCACCCGCATGTTACTAAGAACCTGAAACATTAGATGGTCCAGTTACTTTTATTTTCCCTTACCGTGTAAAAATATCCAGCACAGGCAGGCAGCGTTACGATTTTTTAACAAAAAAAAGAAATCACATCTACTGTTGACTATTGAGCAGTGAGTTTCAGCATATATCAATTCCATACAACTAGGGAATTTGAAGTTCTATACTTTACCCAACAAATAGAACTTCGACAACAAATAAGATTGCAGATATAATGGTGAAGCTCTTCAGAAAAAGGAACTCACGTCTGATGAAACACTTTGGGTATTATACTTGTCATCCCAGTATTGTGTACATATTCTGTACAGTTGTTGAACACTCAAGATCTACAAGCATAGATAATAGGACATGTATTAGAAACAAGATGCATCTATACTCTGCAAGTGAAAGAAAGTAGAGAGAGAACAATACGAGAGATTCAACATTTAAATGTATGTTTGAAGAACTAAGAATTTACCGGACATAGGTCATTGACTATCTCATCATAAGATATTCTGAACTTCTGGAATATGACCTGAAACGATATTAGAAATGTATCAATACACGAGTTTGCCTCTTAAAAAGGGAACAACAGTTTAAACTCAAGATCAAACAACAGAAATTGTTGTGTCTGTCTCCTGTCCAAACTATGAATATGAAACTTTAGTGCATCCAAAGATAAGAACACGACTGATCCCAGAATTGTATCCAGAATCTCAGTGTGAATATATTAGAATGCAAATTTGGTAGAACTGGTCATACCAAAAATCCAACAGCCTGTCTGATATGCTTGAGCTCATCCCATGAAGATGCTGCATACTGTAACCACAAAACTTCAGTCATTAATCAATAAAATAAAATAAAATAAAATAAAATAAAGCAAGCCATGCACACAGAAAGCAGATCACCTCAGTTGTTGCCTTTGCACACCACAACTCCAACTCAGCTAGACCAGCCTTGACATACTCTCCGTTGCTGAAGGAGCAACACTCACGACGAAGCAATAGACTGCAGAACAAAACCGTACAACCATTGACCACGCTAGTTTCCACAAACATAGAAGTCAAGGCACTGAAAGATAAGTGCACCTGTTGAATAGCTGTACATTGATGTACGAAAAAATCTGGGTAAATATTTTCTGAGCTAAAACCGGGGGCACCTGAGGATAAACAAAGCAACAGTAAACACACATCCAGCAGATCAGCACAAGTGAATGATATGGAAACAATGAGACAAATACATGGTTATCTTGCAGTATCTTCAAGAGCTTATCCAAGCTTTCAATAATTTTCTGCCAGTGGTTGCTCTGACTCTGAGATTGACCGGATAATCGCCCAGAAACTCGCAACATGCTAGCTTTCATTGTTCTTGGGGCCTTGTGATTAAAAGAAATCAAGGGTGATAAACTATAAGTCTTTTTGGGCCACATGTTTAGAACCAAATGTTAAATATGAATTTGTCAACAAGCAGTAAACAAATTAGAGAGGATACGTTACCTGGATACATAGCGAAATCAAAGATGATAATTCCTTTTTAATATTGTCTCGGACGATTCCATATATCTTCTCCACATAAGCAGTTAGCTGCTGCTTGAAAAGCAAGGCAGGATATTTGGCCTCAACTTGGCGCACAACATCTGTTGCTTCAACATGCATGTTGGCAAAAGATGCAGAACGCAAGCCCTAGACAAATGGATTTATGTTACGCCATATTCCCCAACTCATTAATTCAGTTTTCAAGCTGCAAAGGTCAGTAGCGTACTTGGGCCATTCTGCCAAATAATGATGTTGGCTGAGGAGGTTTCTTTCGTGAAACGCTACCAGGAGCACCAGCAGCCTTGAGACTTCTCTGCAGTAGGAACAGTAAGCTGGATGTATTGGAGAGCCAGTAAGCAAGGTTGTCATTGTCATCCTCGTTCTGCATCAAACACTGGACAAAGTGAGTCTGGCAGAAAGGACAAAATAATAAACTTGCCACTTGTAAAACTCAAAACACTGTAACTGGCTTCCAAAATCATAAAAGAACATAGCAGCAGCCTCATTTAAAAACAAACATGATTAACAAAAGTGAAGTGTGTCATGGCTTATCTCTTCTGTAAACAACACAGGTGATTTAGATCTCTACATTAAGACTTGACATAATATGCCCATTTTTCACACATCTGCATTGTTCCATGCGGAGAGTAAATCTTATCTTTATCAACAAAGGCGGAAAGGGCAAAGGGATGGCTTGTTTATTTTCTTAACGGTCAATTTTGGTACTTTCATGTTTCAGTATCATGACTAAATCTCCAGTGCCAGATTACCTCGATTGCAGATCCTATTAACTGAATGAGACGGTCAAAAACGCTAGTCTTCTCTGCCTCGAATGATTTCCAATGAAGAAGACATTTGTATATGGTAATAGCAGCAACTGGCTTCCCTGCACAATATCCAAGGTTTTTCCCTACACAGTCAATGAGTGCATCCACGTTTTCCTACAAAAAAAGATAACCTTCAGATAACCATGTTTACACAAGCAATTTAAACACAAAATTTTGGCGACATACAAGTTGCCTGTCAACACAAGATTTCCTCATCTTAGGATCACCATTCCCATATTCCTTAATAGCAGGAGGTGCACTTTGGGGTTCCTGAAAAGTTATAATTGAGAACAAAGATTATGAGCATAAATGAAAGTTCAAGAGACA